TCCCTTTGGGGATTTCTTTTCCAAGCATAAGACACTTTATATTTCTTGGAAGCTGGCAAATAACCCTGCTTGCAGCCATAGGCTCATTTGATCTGATCCCATTGCATCTCACTAACTAAGCAGAGCTATACTACTCACTATTTGGACGGGAGACCCCCAAAGTAAGGAGTGATGCTGCAGGAAGTGGAGTCGATTCAGTATTGAGCAGTTTTCCTTATTTATCTATGGTAACTTATATGCCTCCGCTGTATCTGAGCACCTGCCAATTTTTAATGTATTTAACCTCACCACACACCTGATAAGGCAGTGCTATTATCCCCATTTTATAGATGGGGAATGGAGACACAGAAGCTAAATGACTTGCCATGCAGGAAGTCTGTGGCAGAGCAAGGAACTGACCCTAGGCTAGTGCCCTAATCACTTGTTCATCCTTCCTCCAAGTTTCTGCTGAACCAATTTCCAAACCCAGTTTTGTCAGCAACTTTGTTTTGTCTCTTTTGGAGGAAAAGAAAAACTAAGATCCTGACAACCTGAGGTCATGAAAGATTCCATGCCACTTCCAAAAGAGTATTACAAAATCCTTATGAATTGTATGTAACTTTTCTATACCTTTGTATTGTGTGAAATATGCCTCAGTGATGTAATTTTAAAACAATCCCCGCTCCAGACAGCTATAGCCTGACAGACCCCAGAGTTGACATGATGCAGTCTGAAATCTGCATCCAAGATGGCAAGAATCCGAGAAGGCATTCATCCACTGAGCAGATTGTGCCAAAGGGACGAAGCATTCTTATCTTTCACAGTCTTCTGTGTCGGCATTTGTGGGGAAAGGAGGAGCTAGCAATTAAGCCTTGTCATTTTCAAGACTGATCGTTTAGGTGGAAGGGAGTTAATCTGCTCTTCTGTTTTTGAACTAAGCGTCTGTGTGTTTATAATTTGTAAACAGTTCATCTCTCAGGGGTCGTGTTACAGTTCCCAGAAGCACGGTCTGTTATGTCTAACATGCAACAGAATCCAGAAGAGCTATGTGTGCGAGTATTTTGATACAACATATTAATGACAGGAAACAGAAACAGTGACCTTGTATACTATGACCCTACTAGCAGATTTCAACTTTAGGAGATCCTGTAATAGGAAAAAAATGTATATTTTTCTTTTAAATGCAGACATTGCATTGAGATAATGTCATCAAACTCATTTTTCTTTAACCCACAAGGGTGTTCCGACCACCCCTAGCACCACCACACTTGAAAAAGGATGAAGATACTGAGGATAGCTAAATGTACTGTGACAAAGTTCCTCCTCTGCCTTGGTGGGTTCTGCGCTTTCTGACAGATTTGCTTGTCTCAGAGGTTTTCGGCAGTCCTCAGTTTGGCTCCTTTTGTTAGTGGCACAAACCTGCCGTTCATTTGGCTAACCTCAGCATTGGCCAGCATGGGGAAAAGGAGGAGAACAATCCCCCGCAGTCTCTGCTGGCCCACCTAATGGGTCAGGGGACAGGCCAGAGACCTTCCCCTCTGGTGGGACTCACAGTCCAGATCAACTCCTCTTATATCAAATAGGGAATTGTGGGGGTGAGGGGAACCTGGGCCCGCCCTCTACTCCGGGTTCCAGTCCAGGGCCCAGTAGATTGCAGCTGTCTTTAGTGTCTCCTGTAACAGCTGTGTGACTGCTACAACTCCCTGGGCTACTTCCCCATGGCCTCCTCCCAGCACCTTCTTTGTCCTCACCACTGGACCTTCCTCCTGACGTCTGATAATGCTCGTACTTCTCAGTCCTCCAGCAGTACGCCTACTCACTCTCAGCTTCTTGTGCGCCTCTTGCTCCCAGCTCCTCGCACATCCCTCACTGACTGCAGTGATGTCCTTTTTAAACCAGGTGCCCTGATTAGCCTGCCTGCCTTAATGGATTCTAGCAGCTTCTTAATTGGCTCCAGGTGTCCTAACTGGCCTGCCTTAATTAGTTCCAGCAAGTTCCTGATTGTTCTGGAACCGCCCCTGTTACCTTACCCAGGGAAAAGGGACCTGCTTAATTTGAGGCTAATATTATCTGCCTTCTATCACTCTCCTGTAGCCATCTGGCCTGACCCTGTCACAGTACTTAAGGATCTAGGCTCCCCTCAATGCACAAATGCCATTTCCCTTACTATTAAAAATGGGGGGTACACTTGACACGATGGTTATACAAGGGTCTAAGTTAATACTCTAATAGAGGTTACATGTTATAGTTATGGTGAGATTTATCTATGAAGTATTATCGTGATGGGCACCGGATATTGTAATAACAGAGCTGGCACAGCAGCTGCCTCTGATATGAATAACTCCACCCAGTTTCATGAGTTGCCAATTATCAGGAGTACTTAATGCATATAGCAGTGAGGTCTAGAAGCAACACTGACCACAGCATCATGGTCTTCCCAAATAACCAGCATTTTGAACATTGTCTCTCAGGAGCATTCCAAAAACAAAGTGGTAAAAGAAGAGTAAGGTCAAGTTTGGAGAAGTGCAAAATGCAGAGCAATTAGACTCATATCTCAGTTATCCATTGCAAAAACAAAGTAACCCTATGGAAGTCGGTGTGGTTACATCAGTGTAAAACTGGACCTAAATATTTTGGCTTTGCAATAAATGAATATACTGCATTGTCCTCTGCCGATTTTGGACAAAACGCTTATTTAACAAATCTTCAAATGTCCTTTTTTCTCTTTTTCATAAGGTGAAATGAACTGTGTGCTTCCCCGTAGCAAAACAGAACAACATCCCTTCATCCTAACCCCCCTCTCCCCGCTCCACACACACACACACACACACACACCAGTGAGACTTGTTTTATTGTTCTAAACCATGGTCACAGGCACATATTATAGTCAAATTCATGGTTTAACTGTTTAGAGCTTTAAGACAAGCTACATAGTTTTCTCTGAATCAGCATGCACAAATGAAGGAAAGTAGTGTGGCAAAACGAAAGTGAATAGGCCTGTCCAAGTGAGTAAACCCTGAAGAATGAGGCAGTATACCAGTAAAGATGAAGGCTCACATTTTCAAATCTGGCGCCTAAAGTTAGGAAACAGCTCTGATTTTCAGACACGCAGAACATCCACCACTCCATTGAAAATCATGCAACTCTTAGTTTGAACATTTTAGCCATGCTTTATTGTAAGTATGAAATAAGTGGGAGGAATGATACAATGTGCTAATATGTGAATCAGACTGTATCATGATTACAGTTGGACAAATACTACAGAAAATGTAATGATAAAGATTTATTCAAATAAAAATGGTCAATTTACTTTTTATTAATTTTCTGCAAATTTCAGCGCACAGTGATTTTTGTTTGGAAAAATATTCACCCTGGGAACACTTACACAAATATGTCTGAGCACAAATATTAGCACGTGTTCGGTGGCCATCAAAAAAGATTCTTGTTGGCTTTAGGATCATTCACTCAGCAGAAACAATAACATTTGATTTAGTAGACCAATCACACAATGCAAACAGTGAATTATAAATGAGAAGACTTGAACTGATAGTTGTGGTATATAGATTGTGAGAAATCCACAGTCTGAAATAAATTATTTGTTACTGAATTTTGAATAATAACTAGTAGCTGTATAAAACTCAGAGATTTCTGCTCAGTTTTTTTTTTTAATTTCTATCACAACAATAAGCTAAATTTAAAGAAGTTGTTCCCAGCACATAGCTTGTTTAGATCTAACCCTAATGTACACAAGTGGGTAATGTTAAGGTTTTGTATACTAACTATGACGTTGATTTACTACTGAACAGTTAACAATTTAATTTTAACAATCTATTAACCTATGGAATATTCAAGAAATGGCATGTCAAGTTATTTTGAAGTTTTGTAAGTTGCACATAACCTTGTGAATATTTATGCCCTAATATCTAAATTCCTTTTTCTAGCTGTTATTCATTAAATAATTCCTTACCTTTTAGTTCTCAAGTATTTATAGACTATCAGATTCCCCTTCACTTAGTTATGGTTTTTTTTGTAAGATGTATATATTAAGTTCTCGTAATCTTTCTTCATATGTCATGCCTTCTAATCCTTTTTATCATTTGTCATCTTGGTTTGATAAACTGGAAAGAATCCAATCTATTTTTCAGAGTGAAGAGGGAGGATGAACAAGTATATTCAGATAAACTAAGAGGCACCTCTCTTCAACCCCAAACCTTTGTACATTTCAGGAGCCAAACTAAAACCAACATTTTTGGAGGGTCTGAAATATTGAGATAACTCTCCCCAGGCCCTCCATAAATCTCAGCATTTCTGGTCTCCAACTTGGACAAAAACTGGAAATACCTCAATACCACAAGAAATGTTATTCATGTAGAATTTCCATCTGAGATCAGAACTGGAATTGTTAAGAAAGTCTGTTTTCCCCATGATTTCTAGCACACTTTAAGGGACTCCAAAGGGATGTCAGTTTTTATATACTTTAAATACACTTTGGAATGCTTATCCCAGTGTTTCCCAAACTTGGGACGCCACTTGTGTAGGGAAAGCCCCTGGCGGGCCAGGCCAGTTTGTTTACCTGCCGTGTCCGCAGGTTCGGCCGATCGCGGCTCCCACTGGTCGCGGTTCGCTGCTCCAGGCCAATGGGAGCTGCAGGAAGTGGTGCAGGCTGACGGACGTACTGGCTGCCACTTCCAGCAGCTCCCATTGGCCTGGAGCAGCGAACCGCGGCCAGTGGGAGCCGTGATCGGCCGAACCTGCGGACGGGGCAGGTAAACAAACCGGCCTGGCCTGCCAGGGGCTTTCCCTACACAAGCGGTCCCAAGTTTGGGAAACACTGGCTTATCCAAATGAAACCTGATATTCTCAGGTTTGCCCATCATTAATTGAAACCGCCTCTCCCCCTAATACCCTGCAGCCTGTGCAGAGTATAAACCGCAATCTCCTGGAATAAGACTGCATCGTTTGCATTATTTCATTCTATCTCATGTACCTACATGTGACACACTTACCTTGTCATCCTCATCTTCATCCTCATCTAGGTATGTGGTCTCCTGAAAAACATATGTCCATATTAAAATTCCTCATTGATAGTCAGAGGTTCAAAACATTTACATAACTCTTATCACATTTCATTTGGTACATTTAGTTGTAAACCTTTTTTTTTAAACTACCATTTTTATTATATTACTCTATGTTCAAGGTCCTTTTCCCCAAGATCAGGAACAATAGCACGCAATAACCTATGCAAATATTAAGTCTACATCGAGGTATTAGTGGCTGGGCCCAGCAGTTTGAAGGCAACAGGCTTTTAAATTCATTGCCAAGTTCTACTGTCTGTAAACAGCTTTGTTCTTAGTCTGATAAATGAACCGGTTGATATGTCAAGGCTGAAGCTTCTATACTCAGTTTGTTCTATCCTCACTGCTACAATGACTGCTCTCTCCCTTTAGGGCCATTACAGAAACATTAGACAGTAGAAAATACATTAGTATGAACATAATCAATCTCAAGAATCACATACAGATTTCTATACAGCAGTATTCCTTCAGTTTGACTCCCACTCTGACAGGTAGGGAAGAAAACAAAAGACTTGGCTAGGGTGTGAACTTAGGGACCCCTGGCTTTCAATTCCGGCGTTTTTCTAGCTGAGCCTTTAACAGGATCCTTCAAGTTAATTTAGGACTTGCTTATTCAATAGGAAGATTTGAATTACCATATTAAAATGTTTAAACATAGCTGAAATGTGGGGATATGAAGGATCACAATTAAAGGTTGCTTTATTTAGGGAGGTAGTGGTATCTATTCATCAGAGCAAGGGCCTGAGAGCTAGGATATGCGAGTCCTACCTCCAGATCTGCCAATGTCTTTGCTGAGATGCTTTGGGTAGCTAGGTTAATAATAATATTTTCCATCTCTATGGCAGCTCCCAACTGAGATTCTCAAAACATTGCAAATCCTGATGAATTTAGCCTCACAGCAACCTAGTAATGTACACTAGGTTAATATTATCCCCATTTTACAGCTCAGGAAACTGAAGCACAGAGTTTGGGTTCCACATTTCCAGAGCATGCTATGTGCATTCAGAATGGACAAAATGAAATTTGTTTTTGAAAATTTACATGGCTACGTAGGCATGAAGAAAACTAAGCTACTCCATGTGCAGCCAAGGTCTGGATAAGCAGAAAGAATAGGACTGTACCCAAACCAGTGGTATTTTGAAAAAGGGACAGTTATATTACCCACTCCTCCCACCCAGAGCATATGCAACTCAGAGCAGTACTACCTATTTTGAGCTACAGGAGGTATACAGAGTTGGAATTCAGAAAGCTCAGAATCTGGGTATCAGAAAAAGAATCCAGGGGATATTAAAGATGCTTTGTCTAGCTAGATGCTCAGTAAGGCTCCAATCCAGCAAAGCACTTGGGCGCACATATGTAACTTTGTTCACTGGAGACTGTCCTGTTGAGTTCAATGGCACTACTATATGCACCTATGGTGTGCATTACTCCCAGGTTGCATATGTAGGGGAAGTGACCAACTTTTGATTAACCAAAGTCTTGTTGAAAATAGCTATTGTGTACTTTTCAGCTGTATACGCATGGCACTTCGTGGTATCCATCACAAGCACAATAAAGATTTCAGTGAGATTCTGTTTGCTAGGGAACACAACACACTCATCACTGAATGAGTGATGGGTAGCGGCAGCCATTAACTCTACACTTTCCTGGCTTTATCTGGTTAGACAGTCTCAACATTATTTTATAGATTATCTTTTATATTTAATAAACTATTTGTCCTGGATTCTCCCCAGTGGGAAATTCCTATTTTGGTGATGGAATAAAGGACTCAGGGAACACACACAATACGCTTATGAATACTGTGGACTTTACTGAGATTGGAGATTAGCAGATTCTCACCATTTATCCTCATGTCAAATCTGCATAGAGTGGCCTGCTATTGGAAATATGATTTTCATCATTTTGTAACTAATTTTGACCTGGGAATGACTCAAAACTTCACTAGGAACAACTTGACTAGCTAATTTTTTTTGGGGGGGTACATTTGATCCTAGGATGCCATTGATTCCTTCATTTAAGATCTCCATGTGGTTGCACTATGTTAAGTTGCTTTTTGTGTGCACAAATGACAATGCTTTTCTATGAACATTTCAAAAAGGGAGTTTGCCTGGATGTCATTATCAGAATTATCATAAAGGTTTAAAACAGAATCTTCTAGGTGTTAATTTACTCTATTTCTTTCTAACTTCAACGTCCTGTGCTATGTATAACATGTCAGAAGAGTGCTAACATTAATATCACAGAAATGACATTTCGTATCATAACAGAGTTCCATGCTGCAATTTACTTTGGCACAGAAAATACTTTTATTCAAAAATCAGATCTAAAACTGAAATCTAGCTGGATCTGAATATTTTGTTTTTCTTTTTAAAGTCACAGTAAAAATAAGATGAGGATGATATCGATCTCACAGAATAGATTTTCAAAAATTGGCCTCCCTTTTGGGGTTGTGTTGGCCTTCCTCAGCCTCATGAAGTCCTGAATCATTCCTGAAATATAAACTGCAGGGCTGGGTATGGATCATGGGTTCAAATCATGCCTCCTTGCAATCTGAAAGATCCAAGGGCCAAGCTCTGTCCCATTCTTTAATTAAAACTATTTGAAACTTTGCAGCTGTTTAAGAGCAGTAAGTTTTGTCCCACAATGGTTTATGACATGAAATGAACCACGAAACTCTAGAGACTATTATTTTGTTTTTAACAGGAACCTAGAAATAGAATACCATTTAGATACAGAACTAGCTGAAAACCAGTAAACTGTAAGATCATTTTTGCTCAAAGGCAGATTCCAACTGGCCCTGAAACATTAGTGTTACTTTACTTGCCTGGGTGTCCTGGGCACTGCTGACCTTCCCTGTTGTGATCAGAGAGAAGTTGTAAACAAAGAGCAGCAACAAAGCCAGAGGCACCATGTAAAGCTCTATGTGCCAAACAGTGACCACAAATACCTAAGAGAGACAAAGCAATAAGAGAGGATTTATACAAGTGTTTAAAGAGAAACATAATAAACCCTTTCAATCATTATCCCTACTAACATGCATCCTTGAATCTCTGTTAACCTCATTCCCCACCTCCCTCCCCCTTCAATAAAGAAAATCTACCCAGATAGCTTATTCTCTTTCCATTCTGTTTGATCCATTAGGCTGACGTCTGTTAGCTTCTCTGTTCCCATCTCCTCAGAGGAGTACAAGGCCACCAACTTAATGCTAGTGCATGGGAATTATTTCCTCTTTGCTGGGACCCTGCCAAGTCTGGATAGCCATTGTCCTCAATGCCAGCTCATAACAAATGCACTTGGCTACTTTTTAGGGGGTAAATCAACTCAGTTTCGTCAAGCACTAATAGCCAGCAGGTTCGATGGGAGTGAGATGGAAACCTTCTGCCCCAAGTGCTGCTGTACATCCACTCCCACAAGATGATTAGACAGTGGATTTTTACAATGCTTTATTTATCTGCTGCTGCTTCTTCCCTGTGCTCAGGCTGATTCCTCATCGCCTGGGGTGGCAAAGCAGCTCCCATACTGAATGGTGTGGAGAAAGAGAATAAGGAATGGTTATTTACCCCTTCCCAAAATGCAAGAACCAGGGGTCACATGCCGAAATTAATAGGCAAAAGGTTTAAAACAAACAAAAGGAAGTTTTTCTTCACACAATGCACACTCAACCTATGGTACTGGTTTCCAGGACATGCTGTGAAGGCCAAAAGTACAACTGGGTTCAAAAAAGAACTAGATAGATTCATGGAGGATAGGTACATCAACGGCTATTAGCCAAGATCATCAAGGATGCAACCCCAGACTCTGGATGTCCCTAAGTCTCTGACTGCCAGATGCTGGGACTGGATGGCAGGGAATGGATCACTCAATAATTGCCATTCCCTCTGAAGCATCTGGCATTGGCCACTGTCATGACAGTCTACTGGGCTAGATGGACTATTGTTCTGACCTACTATGACAGTTCTTATAGGACAGGGCTCTGTGGTGAGCAGGATGCACAGTCTCCCTGAGTGGGATCAAAAAATCCTGTCTCCCAGCCACCTCTCAACACTGCCTAACCACATTATTTCAGTTCTGTCTGGAGCCCTCTGGGCCTACAGTAAGAGTATGATTTTGCTCATGGGGAGTGATACCTGAACCAGTGATGCCAGAAACTAAAAGCAGAAGCCAAATTTCAAAGTAAATTGATCTGCAAAATGGTTCAGAGAGGGATGGGGCCTCCCTGATGGAGATTTAGAACAAAAACGGCTGGATTTTTCAAAGGAATCAAAGCAAATCAAACAGTTTTTTGATCATCAATTCCTTCCTATATGCAGATAGCAGTAAATATTTTTGTGTACTGACATCATATGAACAGGGTTTGAGCTTGGAGTTGATGGTAACACAGAATAAGGTTATAAATTAGGTCCACAATTGCCACAGGATGCATGCTGTGATCACAACATTCTTTTTTCCAGCCATACAATGTGTTTCCACGCCAGCCTAATGCTGTAAGTAGCTTTAAGCTCTAAACGGCTGCTCTGGAAGACAAGACACATATACTCAAGTGCTTTTTGATTTTTCTATCCAGAAATGCTGTTCTAGAATGAATGTTCAAGATCTAAAATCCCATCATTAGAATAACACAGCCAAGGTGGAAGTTACTTAACCCATCTGTTTATTTAAAGAGGGGAAAAGAGCTGTGACATCGCAGCTAACAATCCCCTGCCATGCCCTTTTTCTTTTACAGCTTTAAGTTGGTGAGAGGTGCTGGACTGACAGCATTGAAACTGAAACTCTACATGGCAGGTACAGCATGAGCAACAGCAATGGAAACACCACCACATCCTCCTGCCAATGTATCCAAATACCGCGAGGGAGGAACTTTCGGGATGAGAGGATGGCTGAGTCTCCACATCTATTAATCCTCAGCCTCTCTGACACTGTTCACAAGAGTGCCAGTTAGTGCCATTTGTGGCAGTGATTTTGTGACAGGGACACAAACTGATAGCGCCAACTCCTAAGGTAAAATCCCAGCACCACCGAAATAAATGGGAGTTTTGCCTTTGACTTTATTGGGGCCAGGATTTCACCCCTGGGGAATGGGGATAGATACACTCTGTAAATGAAAAAAGCTCTTTTTGTATAGGACAAACTTTCCAGTCGTCATCCACCTGGGGCCAAACTCAGCCCAGAGACTAAGTGGGGAAAGACTCCACATCCTATCACCCATTCTAAGCCAGCCAATCCCTCAACAATGGTATTTTTCACAGACAAGCCCTACTTTGTGTTGCTATGGAAGGAATTAGAGCAGTGGTTCTCAAACTGGGGCCGCTGCTTGTGTAGGGAAAGCCCCTGGCAGGCTGGCCCGGTTTGTTTACCTGCCCTGTCTGCAGGTCCGGCTGATCGCGGCTCCCACTGGCCGCAGTTCACCGCTGCAGGCCAATGGGAGCTGCTGGAAGTGGCGGCCAGTAAGTCCCTCGGCCCGCGCTGCTTCCAGCAGCTCCCATTGGCCTGGAGCAACGAACTGCGGCCAGTGGGAGCTGCGATCGGCCGGACCTATGGATGGGGCAGGTAAACAAACCGGCCCGGCCCGGCCCGCCAGGGGCTTTCCCTACACAAGCGGCGGCCCCAGTTTAAGAACCATTGAATTAGAGGCTGTTTTATTGGGTTCTGATTGCCGATAAAATGTATTTAATTCCAGACAACACAGTCCCATATTATTGGTTCACAGCATTGGAAGTTAGAACATGACAAGGTAGATCACATTTTTCCACACTGTACATAATTCCACTCCACCAATGTATGCAAGCATGACCACAGCAGAAAGACAGGAATTTGGACAAAACTGGGATAATATTTTGCTACCTTGAAGGAATGCTGTGAGGCTTTAGTCAATATTCATTGCAAAGAGCTCTGAGATCCTACGAAGAAGGTGCTATATAGAAAGTGGCAAAGTTCTCAAAAAAGAGATTCCTCTGAACCTGTTTCAACCCCAACCCCTCTTCTCAGACCTCTGCTTATTTAACATGTCTGAGATACAGTAAGGGTTTTTTCAGTTCTGGCCCTAATTCAAACACCACCCTGGACAAGAACGACCTCCACATATTTATCAAACCCAAGTTTTGATTTTTTGTGTGGAAACTCTTCAATGATAGCATGTATTGTTATGAATTAAAAATCAGTGTAGCCTACTGAAGGAGGCTGTATATGCAACACCTATCTGGGATAATACTGAACTCAGTCCCATCATGATACAGAAAGGGATGGCTGGATTTAAGGTCCCAAATCTTCAATCATCTTTTGGCGTGCCACTAAAGTCAAAGGGTCTCTGCAAGAACCTGCCTGCATGGATCCAATTGCAGAATCAGAGCCTAGTATACATTTTTAGTGCAGCTGTCACCATAGCATCTACACTAGATGACCCAACAGAAGTCCCCAATTGTAATTCTAATATGAACTTTCAAACCCTCTGTCCTTTAGATAGTATATAAAACCAAGATCCTGTTCATTTGCGATCATTAATAATCCCATAGCACTTTTTGTACAAGAAAGTTTGTTAGGTCTCCTGACTAAATTACATTTTGAGTAGTAAAATTAAGCTTATGTACAAAATAGTTTCATAGTTGCAACTGGACAAGGTTGTTGATCAATGTGTTTCCTAAAGTTACATTGTATTGCTACTGATGCACCAATAGTCAGCTGCCAAGTTCCAACCCACAGGTACCTGCACTTCACTAAGCCTGCTTTGAAAGAGCTGGTTTGCTGCTATAGGTAGAGTACAGAGAGCTTTAATCTCTGTTGCACAGTATGGTGGCAAGGGCAAATTTATTTATATATTCAGAAATTAGAAATTATTCAGCCTCAGAGGTATGTGAGGTGATTACTCAGAAGAACACAGTACAGAGTAGTTTATAAGCTACACCTCTACCCCGATAGAACGCTGTCCTCAGGAGCCAAAAAATCTTACCATGTTATAGGTGAAACCGCGTTATATTGAACTTGCTTTGATCCGCCGGAGCGCGCAGCCCCGCCTCCCTGGAGCGCTGTTTTACCGTGTTATATCGGGTCACGTTATATCGGGGTATAGTTGTATTTGTAAAGTGTATTAGTATTTTTTCCATGGAATGTGCCTTATAAATAGTTTCATAGCATCATTCATCCAAAGACATAAAAGGAGTTCCATACAAACACACTAAGTCAGATATTATCATCCTCACTTTATACTTGGGGAAACTGAGGCAGGACTAGGTTAAATTACTTATTCAAGATCCCAGTGATTCAGTGGCAGAACAGGAAACAACCCAGGAGTCCTTGCCCAAAGTACTCTAGTCTACTGATAATATGAAGCACTATGAAAAAGTTAAGATAGAACAAACTCCTTCTATTAAATATTAACCATTAACACCATCACCACCTACATTGGTAAACTGCATATTCCAGATGGGAAAAGTTAGCAAGCAAGAGTAGAAGCTAATTTCTGAAATATAAGTAGAAAAAGCCAAAGAATTTTTCTGAAAGGGCTGAACTGGGCAGTATAAGAACCAATAAGGAATAGAATTATAAGAATTATAAAACATAACCAAAGGTCAAAATAAAAATAGAAATGAGACAGACCTTTCTGGAGAAGAAAGAACTCTTGGAGTTAAGATTTAGAGTGGAGTCCTGTCTAGAACAGAACACCAGCATCATAGCTTTGGAGACGAGTCCACTTGATTTCCGCTGATTAATGTGTTGCTGTTTCAAAGGGTCTAATAACTACAAGTTAAAGCTCTGGAGGTTTGGAAGCCATTTCATCTGAAAAATCACTGAAGAGGAGTCCAACTGTTCCTGTCAAGAAGCATGGAGCTTGAACAACCATGAGAGTGGCCCTTTTGACA